CTTAGAGGGCATTGCATTAAGGACAGGTTTGACGCATCATATTAAACTTTACAAAGATTTAATATTTTCTAACCCTTATATGATGTTTGGTGCAATTAAAATTCTGATTAATTAATCAAATATGTTTAACTTCATTTAACCAACAGTATAAATTTACCATGCTATTTGAGCTGGATTTAGATCGTAAATATCATCATTTTATGAATTAAGAAAATATTAATTAAATTGAAACACATAAGTTTATTTATAAGTAAATAATAGCTAAATATTTCACTTATAATTAAAACAAAAAATTATAATTAAAAATCACTATTAGCAAAAAATTTAATCATAGTAAAAAAATACTCAAAAGTGAAAAAAATAATTTTTTTAAGTAAAAATATTAATGACGAGTAAAAAAAAAAATTATTAAGAAGTACGAAATTTCTACTACTAGTGTTTAACCACTTAGCCCATGAAAGCCCCATAATTTAAATATATTGTTGAATAATTTAAAAAATCTCCATTACTGATCTTGGACTTCCTACCATCCTCTAGATTTTGTTTACATTTCATTATGGTAATACAACTATATTTTAGATAGTAAAACTCCATACAATTGATTTTATAAAAAATATTTTGCAAGTAAGAAACACTTGAAATTAATTATAAATTAAAATTAACTTTTAAGTAAAAAAACTTATATATATATATAAGTAAAAGAGTAATTTATAACTAAAAATTCATTTGTAAGGAAAAATACGTTAACGGAATCAGTAAATTTGCACTAATGGAATTCGAATATGGTGTCTGCATCATGCACGAACGAAGACAACCCTGAACATTAAGGAGAGAAGAAAGTTAATATAGAGAAACTTGTGTCATGTATTTCTAGATTACGAAATACGAATAAACTTTAAAAAAGAAGAATGCAATTATTGAGGAAAAATATAGTTTTAGGAGGATTATGAAGGATAATTCCATCATTCTATAAATTTGCATATATGTTAATAAGAACCAACAATCTAATTAATAGATATTAAACAACGGTTCCGGGATTTATAATCCTTCATAAGAATCACAACTTTATGTATTGTAAATCAAATTGGGGTAAAAAGACATTAAAAAATCGAATAAAATATGAACTAGCATGTTTGCAGACTAAGTCGGGAGCGCCCACGCCACAAGCATGGGGGGGGGGGGGGGGGGGGTTGGTTCCCTTTTCTTTTGGATTGACTTCTTTCTATAACACGTCTTTCGATAACCATAGTTGCTTCTCTTTTCATTTGGATTGACTTCTTTCTAAATGGTCTCGTATGCAAATGAATGGTAAAAGTTGGAAAAGAAAAAGAGGGCTCATCGCTAACTATTCGAGATTTTTTTTTAATTGGCAAGATTTTGACTCAAAATCTCGTAACGTTAGCATTAGGTAAAATATTCTGAAAGGTAGTATGTACATGTAGCACAATCCATATAAAAATGAGTGATGAATAATTGAATAACACTTATGGATTTATTGAAATGTATAATTAAAATGAAGTTTGACTATTTAAAGTTAATTTATAAATAAATTATAATTAGCTAAACGGTTTCTCAACTTAAACTGCTAAATTAAAATTTATCCTAAACACAATATAATAAACTACTTTTCTCTTGGAGGTAAATAATATTGTGCATTTTGAAAGAAATTCTCATGTTACTATAAAAAATGTAATATTATTTTTCATTTTGACTCTTTTGCTTGATGCCCTTACTGCAAGTTCCGAATTTGAGTTCTTCATCACGATGTTATATCTATTTTCATTCTAAACTTAACACGTCTTTCGATAACCATAGTCAGTTCTTAATCCAATAACTTGACGAAAGAAATGAACAGAATTATCTGTAATATTTTCATTGATAAGGACATTCGATCAATTTTACTATCTTTTCATCGAATTGAACCAATTCGAAATTTAGGGCAAACACCTATATCCATCTCGTCACATTGAACTAAATAAAAAATATTATTATATTGTAACATTACTTATTTATTATAAGTAAATTTTTTAAAGTTACTCAAACATGATAAAAAGATTGTGGACAAAAGTCCTAATTTTGGTCCCTTTTTGACATCCAATTTTTTTTACTGCCGGGTATAATTGCCCCCAAATCCTCTATCTTTTCCATCAGCGCATGTTCATCCTTCAATGACGGAGTTAATTGTTTCAACGGTCACTGAACTTTACAAAGTGTCATGTTTCACTAACTGAACTTTAAGTTGCATCCCATCACTAACTGAACTTAGTAGTAAAGTTGCACTACATCCATCACCGAACTAATTCCGTCAAAATCGGTTGCCTACGTGGATAACGATTTGCACACGTGGCCGTTAAATTAATCCAGGTGGCCGAGTTAATTGTTTCAACGGTCACTCAACTTTACAAAGTGTCACGTTTCACTAACTGAACTTTAAGTTGCATCCCATCACTCACTGAACTTAGTAAAGTTGCACTCCATCCATCACCGAACTAATTCCGTCAAAATCGGTTGCCTACGTGGATAACGGTTTGCACACGTGGCCGTTAAATTAATCCAGGTGGCCGAGTTAATTGTTTCAACGATCACTCAACTTTACAAAGTGTCACGTTTCACTAACTGAACTTTAAGTTGCATCCCATCACTCACTGAACTTAGTAAAGTCGCACTCCATCCATCACTGGGCTAATTCCGTCAAAACAGGTTGCCTATGTGCAGGGGCGGACGCAGATCTTAAAAGTTAGAGTGTCACAATCGAATTTGCAAAGAACTCGGAAGAAATTTTACAATTGAAAATTTATGTCCAAAAAAATCATACCCCATGTAATTTTACATCCAAAAATTTACATACGATATGACTTTTTCAGATGTAAAATTTCGAAAAAGAATTATATCATATTCCATATAAAATTTCCTAATAAAATGATGAAAATTATATTGAGAAATTTGTATCGCAAAAATAATAAATTTTAATGAAATAATTGAATTTAAAAAAAAAACGAGTTAGACGTCTTTTTTTAAGACTCGTGTTTAACATATTTTTAACTATTTTCGATATCTGTTTATAGTATTCGATATGCCAACAATGTAGTTCTCGAAATAACTTTTGAGATGATATAAGCAATTTGTAGATTCGATTGGCTTACGATCGTCGAATAATTTTAAAAACTAGCATGTTTTCGAAATTTAAATTTATTGTGATTTTGCCTATGTTTGGTGGATGTTAAAATCATTTTTTTAGTAAATTTTGATAAAAGTTAAACAGTTATGAATTTCATGAAATATGTTATTAAAATTATTTGTTAACTTTGATTTAAATTAAAATTTAGATTTCCCTAGGACCCCCCTAGATCCGCCCATGCCTACGTGGATGACGGTTTGCACATATGGCCATTAAATTACTCGAACTGGCCATTAATCAGCCATGTCATAAATGCTTAACACTCAAACACGGCTCACCCAATTTGATTTCATGTCTAAAGACGGCCAAGACACGACTAGTGCGTGTGTGATTGTGGATTTCGAAAGCCAACGAAGACGTACCAAGATCATTTTTTAGGATCTCAACCCTCAATGGGATGAGAAACTCGAATTCATGGTCCATGATGTCGAATTCAAGATGTCGGCTCCAGCTCCACCTGTGACGGAGGCGGCAATCGAGAAGGCTGATTTCAGAGATCAAATTGGGTGAGACATGTTTGGGTGTTGAGAATTTATGACATGACTGATTAATGGCCGCTAGATTAATTTAACGACCACTTGTGCAAACCGTCATCTACGTAGGCAACCGATTTTAACGGAATTAAACTAGTGATGGATGGAGTGCAACTTTACTAAGTTCAGTGAGTGATGAGATGCAACTTAAAGTTCAGTTAGTGAAACGTGACGCTTTGTAAAGTTCAATGACCGTTGAAACAATTAACTCGGCCAACTAGATTTATTTAACGGCCACGTGTGCAAACCGTCATCCACGTCGGCAACCGATTTTGACAGAATTAGTCTGGTGATGGATGGAGTGCAACTTTACTAAGTTCAATGAGTGATGAAATGCAACTTAAAGTTCAGTTAGTGAAACGTTACACTTTGTAAAGTTCAGTGACCGTTGAAATAATTAACTCTTCAATGACGCAAGTAAAAAATTATAAAAAAAAATAACAGCTTATAATTTTGCTACTGTAGCTTCTTCGCTCTCTAGTTCCCTCCGCGTCTCTCTCTCTCTCTCTCTCTCTCTCTGTGATCTCTCTCGATCGATGAATGCAGGTGAATTTCTTGATTCGTCTTGAACTTTATTTAGTTGGATTATCATAATTGTTGATGAATTGGCTTGAATTTCGGAAAGGGGAATTTTTAATAAACCCTAGATTTTTTTAATTTATTTTTTGCCTCGTGTTAAGTTGGGTTCGATTATTTTTAAAACCCGGTGGTTTTTATGCTGGTGATAGCGAATCATCCTTCTTTTTGTAAAAGTATATGCTTTCTGTGATTTTTACTAGTGCTTAATTTAGATTTCGATTTTTACTGTATCTGCTTATTTGGAAAAGTAAATTTCACTGAAAATGTGATGGAATATAGAGAGTTTTGATGGCTACTCATTTTTAAATAGTGAACTTGTAGTTTACAGTAATGGTTTTTGAAATTCTTATGGGAGGCCTGAGACCTGTTAAAAGCAATGGTCATGAAAATTTTATATCGTATTATGTTATGTTGTTGATCATGCATATTTTAAGAATTTTTAAGATTTTTAACTCTCTAAAATCTGAGATTTTTTTAATCATACAACTGTCTACCAGAGCGGAGTTTTCAGTAACGCTCTCTAGTAATTTGATGGGTCATGACTAGTTTCTGAAAGTGAATGCTCCAATATTTGCTGATTCTTGCTCTCTGTCTTGTTCTTTTTATGTTTTTTGCCTTTGTAGCTGCTGAATTAACTGATTTATTTCAAAGACATTATTGAGGAGAAAGCACTCTGTAGATACACGTGATTTTGACGCTGACTTTTAATTATGGCTGGAAATCCTAGATTTGAAATGACTTTGGCTAGCCCAGACTCCAGTTTTGCTGGGGGCTATCAGAATGGACCTAGAGGGAGTTATTCTGGTCCAAGTTTGAATAGGTCTGGAAGCTTTAGAGAGGGTGCAGAAAGTAGAATGCTTGGTTCTGGGAAGGCTACATCTAGGGGGACTGCTATGTCAGCTGGGGACGTTTCATCATTGTCTCAATGTCTGATGTTGGAGCCAATCGTTATGGGTGATCAAAAGTACCCACGGTCAGATGAGTTAAGGAGGATTATTGGCTCTTCTGTTGGTAACAGCTCAGAGGACAATTCTTTTGGTGCCGTTCATCTGAAGACTTCACCTCCAGTAGTTATGGAGGAATTAAAACGATTTCGAGCTAGTTTTGCCGATACTCGTCTCAAAGCTAGGTAACTTTTTTTCTCTCATCTTTATTCTTCTTGAGACGTGCCTGATACTGGACTTGTTTAGTAATTTGCTGCTGCAATCCTGTCCCTGTCCATCAATTTGTTTCTTTGTCATAGAAAATACCCTACAACCAGCAACTTGATGTTCGAAATTAAGTGATTTTGTGTGCCCTGTTCCACTAACTGGAAATTATTTCAAGCCATCTTTGTTGACATTTGTGTCAGTCATCAAATTGGTTACTGCAAATGAACATTGAAACGTATTCGCTTTCTGTGTATCTTGGCATCTAATTGTCTCTTTGTGCTTCTATTTAAATATGTTACCTTCTTCTTTTTGTCTAGTGGTAGAGCCAAAAAGCTGGACGAGCATTTAAATAAGTTGAACAATTATCTTGAAACCATGACCCGTAAGAATCAGCAACGGAATGAGCTATTGACAAATGATCGATCAACTAGTTCAAGCTCAAAGATGGGAACCCAGATGCAGCGTAGCCCTTCGGAGCTTGTAGCTCATAAATTTGAGGACGGACCTAAGAATATTGTTCTGAATAAGCGTTTAAGGACATCAATTGTAGAAACTCGGGTTAGTGATACTTATAGTTCAACTTTTTATTCTATCTAGCGTGTTCTTAAATTTTCATTTCGTATACAACAAATAGAAAAGATCTGTACACGATTTTTAATCTGTCAACTTTTTTTCGGTTCTCTTTGTGGCCTTTATCTGTTTTATTGTGCGTAGCATAGATAAAGTGGGCAGGGTATAGTGCATTGAATGGTTCTCAACAAATGACTATTTCAGCACTTCACTATCTTATATCCATTTTTATGTTCAAGTTGGAAACAAGCATGATTGTGGAAATATTGTAATTAGTCCATATATTGAAATTGTAAGAGAATTTGTTATGGGTATTACAATAAAATTCCCTACCTATGTTTTTTAATAGCAGGTACCAACCCCTGACAAAGGAGTGTGGCGTATGTTGAGAGTCAAAATAAAACTTTGTCACATCTCATGACATAAATCCTTATATAAGTGGATATAGAATGAACTAAACGGGGTGGCAAAAAAATGAAGTATACAACCCATAATAATAGGGAATGATGCTTAGTTTGTCTTTTGCTTCATTATTTAAGAACTCACAGATTTTTTGCTGGTCCCTTTTACATTCATTTATCCAAAACATGATTAAATCTCATTCCCTCTTTTAGGCGGACTTCCGGGATAATGGATTACTTCGGCAGCCTTTGGCAATGACAAAAGAACGAGACCTGCTTAAAGATGGTGGTGCAGATGCAGATATTGTTGAGGAAAGGATAAGAAAATTACCTGCTGGTGGAGAAGGTTGGGACAAGAAAAAGCGAAGGAAACGCTCGGTAGCTGCAGTCTTTTCAAGAGCTATTGATTCTGATGGGGAACTGAAACGTACTATGCATCATAAGCTTATTAGTGAACCTGGTGGTGGTAACAAGTTGGACTCTATACCGTCTCCTGCTGGTTCTAATTCTCATGCAACTCCAAAAACTGAGCAAGAAAGATCTGTTCTTTCAAGGGATTTTCATCCCGGACAGAATAAGGAGCGAGTCTTAGGAAAAGGAAACATAAAGTAAGAATCTAATCTTTTCTGTCCATGACTTGTTCTGTAGATGACTTACCTTTATTGCATGCTGTCTTTGGCTTTTGATGTGTAGCAGCCAGTTTTTTTCTTAAAACCCAATTTTGTGGTTATGACGTTTCTTTTTTATCCTTGTTTTAGGTTTAATAACAGCAAGGAGAATCTTGGTGTTTGTCCTAGTCCAGTAGTAAAAGGGAAAGCCTCAAGGGCACCTCGAAGTGGCTCTATATGTGGAACCAATTCAGCTTCTAATATTCCCCGTATATCTGGAGCTTTGGAGGAACAACCTCAAGGTGTAAATAAAAATCCTTCAATTGGCAGCTCTAACAATCGGAAGCGTGGTATACCGACCGTATCATCCTCTCTGCCCATCACTCATTGGGTTGGGCAGAGGCCACAGAAGATTTCCCGTACAAGGAGGACGAATCTTGTGCCAGTATCAAACCATGATGAAGCACAGATGCAATCTGAAGGATGTTCCCCTTCAGATCTTGGTACTAGATTAGGCTCTGGCGTGACTAATGTTTCCCTTATCTCTAGAAGTACAGCCACTGGAACTCATAATTTCAAAGTTAAACCTGAAAATGTTTCATCCCCTGCTAGATTATCTGAAAGTGAAGAATTTGGGGCTGGTGAAAACAAACTAAAGGATATAGGTTTAGGGAGTGTAGGTGTGGAAGAAAAAGACGAAAATGGTGGTCAGAACATCAGGTCTTCTGCAATTCTTACAAAGAAGAACAAAATTGTTGTTAAAGAAAAGAAAGGTGATGGTGTACAGAGACAAGGCCAAAGTGGAGGTGTCTTGCCATTTTCTAGTCCTAGTATTTCACCAATGATAGATAAGGCAGCGACAACCAAGCCACTGCGAAGTGCTAGGTCTGGTTCTGACAAGAATGCAAGGTATAAGATCATTTTTCTAGCTGATTAAAATAATGTGTTTCACAGTCCTGATGTAAGTTTTGAACTGTCTCAGTAAGTCAGGCCGTCTTTTGAAGAAGCTATCTGACCGCAAAGGTCTCTCTCGTCTTGTCCATGTGGCAAATGGAGGTTCCCCTGATTTTAGTGGTATACCTCCTAAACAATTTATGCACGGAAATTTATTCTCTGCTAATTTTCCATTTGTTTCTTTTACTTCATGCTATAGAAATTAATGACGGATTTTATATCAAAACTTGGCTTATTATTCGTTGATAATATTGCGATGAGTCAAAACTCTCTCAGTTGCCTGTACCTGCATTGATCTTAGAAGGGGCTGATTACCATTTGCTATTATATTTCGGGATTGTTTGGGAGAGATTTTCCCAAAATCATTTTCCCCCAAATCATTTTCAATCATGCATTCTATGAGACCACTAATTTTTCTACTTTTTAATCACACATTCTCCAAAAAAAATCATTTTTCACTTGGAAAAATCTCTGCCAAACAAATACTTCTTTTTATCTCAATTTTGGGATAGTTTTTATTTTGATCCTATTGCACGTGAGATTGTATGCCATGTGCCAACTCTAAGAATATATTCAAGTGTAATGCTATTCGTACAAAGTGGGGTTCGTCCCCATCTGATGTGGCAATTACGTGGGATGAAATGATACCAATTAAATATGTGGATACGATACCCACCTTATTGGTTTAATCATTTGATGCCAACTCCATTGGGGATTATCCCCAGTTTATACAAATAGTACTGTATATTCAATCTGGTTCTATTTTCTTGTATCTGTTTCTCTTTTAAAACTAAAAAATCAGGTCAAGTCAACCTCAGTAAAATAAAAGCCGAGCTTTAGCTCAAACCTTTACACAATGAACCAGCTTAACGACTTTAAAACTAATCTTTTCTGCTTTATCATATGCTGGATTAACTAACACCACTCTACTCCAAGCAAAAGTAAAATTCAACACAAATTTAAAGTCATAGATAAAGATAGAAAATAAAAGAAAATCATAAAACAAAAAAAATTTCTTGAGTGTAAGTTAGAAATTATTGTGCTGACCTTGTGATTTTCCAGGGGAATCAGAGGATGACCGTGAAGAGATTTTAAAAGCCGCAAATTTTGCTTACGACTCCAGTGGTGTGTGTCTGACAGCAATTACTTCATGTCATATTGGTTACATTGCTTTTCCCATATAGCGTAAATAATTGTCCTCATTTTTCATTTTGCTTTAGTCCGTGCCTGTTCAAGCCCATTCTGGAAGAAAGTTGAGGCATTGTTTGCTTCTATTAGCCCAGATGAAAGATCATATTTATCACAACAGGTGACTTCTTAATAGGTGGATGATTTTTGATCTGTTTTAGTCTTTAGATAGGCAGTTGGATTCCTAACATTTTTCTGTTTGACTGAACCAGCTGAAATCGGCAGAAGAATATTCTGGAAGCTTGAATCAGATCATTGGCCCTGGAAATAATATTCAACTGGAAATGGTTTGTGTTCTCTCCTTTTTCTCCACTGCTCACTATTTCATTTTGTTGTAAATACTTCAGGTGGAATTCACAGTATCCAATCCTGTCTTGTGGCTCCTGCTGCCACTGGGCTTTGGAATACCATAATTTCACACACTTGTAGGGAACAAGTTGGTTTTATCTACATACCATTATGAATCTGCTTTATCTGAAATTGAAAATTCACTCTTTTTTTATTAGGGTGATCATGGGCACGAAGAAATTTCTGCCTCGGATTCACTCTTTGGTGAGAGGAATGGACACATGAAAAGTGAAACCGGCTTAAAAGACTCTTTCGATAGTGTGGAATTTGTCCAGCAACTGCAGGATTCCTCTTTGCTTGGAAGCCTAGATACAGGACGTACTCCACTTTATCAAAGGATTCTATCAGCTGTTATTATGGAAGATGAAATTGAAGAATGCAAGGAAAATGGATTTAGAAGATCAAGGAGTTCACCTGATGATCCACGCTTTGTTCTTGGTTCTGAAAGTAAAAATAGGTCTTCGAACTTCTCCGAGCCAATCGTTGGCATCCGAACACAGAAAAATGGCAACCCAGATCAATTTTTCTCTTGCAACGGAAATACTGACCTCAATAGAATCCGTAGTGCTAGAGTACATCCATGCAACTCTGAAATGCTACAAGGTGACAGTGGATATGAGCATTTAGAGGTTGATATGTTGTCTGGACGTTCAAGATGTGATTATGGTGCACAAAATTTTCAGTCAAAAAGTTGTGGCATATCTTTCTCTGATTACCAATATGATGAGATGTATCTTGAAGACAAACTCGTATTGGAGCTGCAGAGTGTTGGTCTGTATTCTGAAACCATGGTATGCTTCAACTTTTTATAGACTGAAGATATAATTGATTTTTCATTTTTTAAGGACACGTTTTTTTATAAATTCTTGCTCTTTTTTTATTATTTCTTTTGGAATTTTATTAAATTATTTTTTGACTTAGTTGAAAAGATAGAGACAACTTTTACATAACAATAATTGTTGAGTAATGCTATTCGTAATCCCTCACTATGGGAGTTCCCCTACGTGGCATACATGTGGCAGGTGGTTATTTGATACATTAATATGGTAGTTTTTTATTGACTCGTATATCAAATAACCACATGCTACATATATGCAACATAGGACGACTGTCGTAGTGAGCAATTGTGAATAGCATTATTAATAATTGTTTATAAAATTTTTAATTATGTTTGTTTTCTTTTCTTATTGGGATGCCTTAATGCAGCCTCCATTGGATAATAAAGAGGATGAAGTAATCAACCATGAAATTGTGCAGCTAGAGAGTGGACTTCATCAAAAGGTCATCTAGCATACTATGATTTCTGTTTTTCATTTGTCTTTTAACCCCTGTATTATTCAACTATACACAAGAGGAACATTATCTCTCACAAGATAACATTTTTCTAAAGTATTATTGATTACTGTTCTGCCATAATATGCCCCTGTATGTATTACTGAGTGTAGGTTGTTTTCTTTTTTATGGCCGAGCCTTTAGATTGGAAAGAAGAAAATGTGCCTAGATAAATTTTACAAGGCTATTCAAGAAGAAAATGATGCAGAAAGACGGTAAATGCTCTCCATTTTTATTTTGTCCATGAGCATTTGAGCTTAAAATGATCACAAGAATTGCAAAAAGATTTGTTCAAATCATGTGATGATGATTACGATATTATGCAGGAACCCTGAGCAGGTTGCAATGGATAAACTTGTTGAATTGGCATACCAGAAATTTTTGGTGAGTAATTGTTTTGATTCATTCTTCCACGGATTCTTGAGAGCTGTCAAGCTGTATCATAAGTATCCTGCCACCTTGATCATTGTCTGTATAGAAGAAAAAAGTAACTTTGAAAAGGAAGCTGATTTGATGTGTGATAAAACCAATGATGAAGATAATTTTAAAGAGTAAGTTGGAGTACACAGATACTATTGCTTTACTTCAGGCTAATAGTCCACGCAAACCTGCTGGATGTCTGGTACTCCTAGATCATAATCGTTGTGGTCTAGTAGGTTACATGAAATTGGAACTTAAAACAAAAATGAGGGATGTTATTACTAGATCAGATCTAAATATCGCCTGGCCTAGTTTAATCCGGGAAGGGAGCCATTAATGTGAGAGGTCTGTGCAAGTCCCTCGGCAGCAAAAGAAAGCCCTTGCCCCTTCCCGTGTTTGTAAAAGATAGAAAATCCCGCTCATAGTTCTGCTGATTCTGTTTGAATGAACTTGTTCAAACCTAATTTTTCTTTATTTGCCTGTTTGATTTCTCAATTTGTAGTTTTTTGGTTGAAAAATGTACGATCAGCAATTAGTGTGGTTATGTGCCAAGTGAAGTGTCTATTGTGGGAAATGTTATAGTTTAATTATATATGCATAAAATTTACATGCTTTGTTATCTGGTTTTCAGACACAGAGAACTGGCATTATATATCTTTTGAGAGATCTCTAGTGGGATTAATATGTCCTTTATAATTGAAACAGAAAAGTTAAATTTCTTGGTTGGCTATCTATATCTATAACATGTTTAAAGAAAAAAATCCAACAGGACCATAATCTTCAATCTGTTAGGGTGCTCTGTTATATTTCTCTCTTCGCCTTATCAAAAAAAATATATATATATTTCTCTCTTCACATCCATAGGGTCTGTTTGGAAGAGACCAACCTCAAGTCTAGTGATAGTCATAATCAATTCATGCTGGTTGCCATTATATTTAGTAAACTTTAAGGAACGTGGATTCTATACTTGCACAACTTTTATGATAGGAAAAATTCGGTTAGATTTACTGCTAAAATTCTTCCCTTCTTAATTTTTAGTTTTCAAATCTATATTCAGAGTCTAACAATATATGATCTCTCTAAATTCCTTTACAGGCAACTCGAGGAAGCTTTGCTTCTAAACATGAGATTGCCAAAGTGTCGAAACAATCTGCATTGGCATTTGCCAAGAGGACACTTTCCAGATGCCAGAAATTTGAAGATTTAGGAGCAAGTTGCTTTACTGAGCCTGCAATCCGGGATATTGTTTATGCTGCACCTCCCCGGGTCAATGAACCGGCGCCGCTTCCTGATGCTAACCTGTCAGTTGCTAATGGTGAGCACTTGCATCCAGTAAATTCCAGCCACCCTAAATGATACAGCAAGTTGTCCTTTTCAAGTTTTGTTTTACCAACAATGCCTTAGAAGTTTTAACATTCGCATTTTGGCTATTTTTTGAGTTTGTCTTCTGTCGCAATGTTTCTAGTTTTGCTTGAAGCATTTAAAAAGCAATTGTGTTTGTTTTAATTTATTTTGTCGCTCTTAAATGTTTTGAAATGTCAATGTTTCGGTTTTCAGCCAGAGGATACATGAAGTTGTCCTTTCCGTGTTTTGTTTTTCGACAATGCCTTAGAATTTATAACCATTGAACCACTTCATTTAAAAGCTTAAGATAGGACCATATGTATAATATTTAAATATTATCTTCAACACTCGCCCTCATGTGTAGGGGGAATTTATATTTTTCCAATTAAAGCCTAACACGTGCATAATTCATTTAAAAGGTCGACAGCGAGACTTGAATCTAGGATCTTTGCTTGCCCTAATAACGTGTTGAAGTACTTGATCTAAAACCTTAAGCTATTAGATAGGGCCACATATATATTATTTAAAGATTATCTTCAACAATAACATTTTGTCTTCTATCGTTATGTTTCTAGTTTTGCTTGAAGCGTTTAAAAAGAAAATTTGTTTGTTTTAATTTATTTACTTGTTCTTAGATGCTTCTAAATATCAATGTTATGGTTTCCAATCAGCCGATGGATACATCAAGTTGTCCTTTCCAAGTGTTTTTTTTCAACAATGCCCTGAGTTATAACATTCGCATTGGCTATTCTCTGAGTTTGTCTTCTGTGGTGATGTTTCTAGTTTTGCTTGAAGCATTTAAAAAGCAATTTTGTGGGTTTTAATTTATTTACTTGCTCTTAAATGCTTTGAAATATTAATGTTTTGTATTTTAGTTAGCCAATGGATACATCAACTCATCAAGTTGTCCTTTCCAAGTTTTATTTTTTCAGCCTTGGAAGTTATAACATTTGCACTGGCTATTCTCAGAGTTTGTCTTCTTTCGTGATGTTTCTAGTTTTGTGTGAAGCATTTAAAAGGCAATTTTATTTACTTGCTCTTAAATGCTTTGAAATATCAACGTCACGGTTTTCAGTCATTTAGGCTGTATTTAATTAATACGTTACTGTTAAACAGGCTCCTTACTTGGCTGTACCAATGGGAGTTCAGCTGATGTGTTTGAGACTTCAGGACATCAATCCGATCACGACTTTGCTAAAAATGGACCAATATCCAACAGAGGAAAGAAAAAGGAAGTATTGCTTGAATATGTTGGTGGTGCTGTTTTTAGATCAACACCTACTTTAGGCATTTCAGGTGATGCAAGAGGAAAGAGAAGTGAGAGAGAGAGAGAAACTTCAACCAGAAACCTGGCTTCCAGCTCATCAATGGGCGGCTCTAAGGGTGAACGTAAAACAAAAGCAAAGCCGAAGCAGAAGACAGCTCAGCTTTCCACATCAGGAAATGGATTTGTCAATAAAAGAGATATTAGATCAATATCTTCTGGTAATGCCCCTCTGGATTCATCAAAGGAGACGAAGAAATCTATGGACTTCCCAAATTTGCCACTGGATGGTGTAGATTCAATAGAACAGCTAGGAGTAGATTCTGATATTGGCGGAACACAGGATTTCAGTTCTTTGTTCAATTTTGATGAGGACGGGTTACTAGACCACGATTCCATGGGCCTCGAGATACCTATGGACGACCTGTCATTAATTATGTTTTGATCAGTGACATCAAGTTGTACAGCTTGTGGAATATTTAACTGGTAACAGAATGACATTTTTCTTTTCTTTTTTTCTTTTTTATTGAGGGGTGGGCATTAGCTTAAGGCATGTCTTGGCCAAAATGGCCATTGTAATTATGTAATTCTTTCGTACACTCCTCTCGAGATAAACTGTTCAGAAAATTCTGTGTTTATGTCTTCTAGAGAATGTTTCCCTGTGAGAAGTATGAAAATTTTCGAAGAGTGCCCTGTTAAATAATCTAGAATTGTTTCAAGCATATGATTCTCACTAGCTTTGAATGTGTTTTAATATTTGTGAAGGCGTTTTACCAAGTGACATCTTATTAAGTACTAATTGAAGCATAACATTTCTCTTTTATGGCAGTCTAGATTTCCTGGGATGGTATTAGCAGCCGGGAGTTCTTTCACATGTTGACTTTAGCAGCAGGGAGTTCTTTCACAGGTTAAGTTTACAGTACTAATGTGGCAAGTTGGGTTCATTTTTCGTATAACTACTGCCTTTTTTCCAGCTTTCCTCTTCTTTTTCAGCATGTTTGGTAAGCAATTTTGGACTGGACTTACAGTATTATCAAGAAGATATTTACAGGTAATTTTACTTAGTTTTAAGATAAGTCAAATGTGTCATTGGTGAAGCTACTGCTTCTCAGATTTAATATTTAAGCTTTTATGTGGGGTTTGCCTGTTTGCTGGGTTGTTTCTTTGTTTATGTTTCATTGGTCAAGACTATTGGATATTTGATTTATGTGCAATAAAGCAGAAATTTCTCATATAAATTTAGAAACTCCTTTGTGAATGGAGTATTCCTGTCATATCTTTTGGGCTATTCTATTGGATCCTTTGAGAGTCAGAAGACTTTTTAGTAAGAAGCTATTCTCAGAAACAGAGAGAATCACAAGTAGAAAAGTCAAACGTGGATTTTCTAAATACTCTGGTGGCTAACTTATTGTGAAATTTTATGGAGTTTACTTAATCAGAAGGTCGTGATGGCCCCTTACTAACAGAACATTCTGTTAATCAGAGAAGGATTTTGGCGACAAGACCTAGACCTTTTTCTCCTCAGTGTGTAAAAGCTGAAATGACATTGCACCCCAATCTCTTCCCTTTTCTTTGAATGCCAATTTAGCCGAGTAATTTGGGACCAAGTCTTGAGCAAATCTGGCATGCATATAAATGTGTAATTTTTCCATTTTGTTTCTAGATATGTAACTTTTTTCTTACTTACATAATTAAGGTACTTATTTTGATTGCAAGTAAGAGTTACTTTCCAAATAGTTATATTTAAAATTAAACAACAAAACATTATTTATTCTTACACTTATTGGTTAAAAAGTAATTTTTTTAAGCTTGGGCAAACACTGACTAAATTTTCTGAGTTCCAAAGATCGTTCAACATGCAACTTAATCTCATTATCAAAATAAAGTAAATAAACTAAACACAACATCAAATCACTAAGATCACAGGTTATGAACAGAATTCGCTGCATATAATTCTAACTACAAACACACACCCAAAATCGGCTGCACGCACCAAATTGTATGTGCGGAACACATGATGTGTTTGTAATTTTGTATTTAATAGAACCAAAATTGCACGTGAATCACACGTGATGTACTTACAATTATGTATTTAATAGTGTGAATGTATTTGAATTGATGAAAAAGTTGAACTTGTCCTCAATTTGATTAAGATTTTTTGAATTTGTCCAGCACCTGCAGGATTCCTGTTTGTTTGGAAGCCTAGATACAGAAAGACATGCTCCACTTTATCAGTCTTCTATCAGCTCTTGTTGTGGAAGATGAATTGAAGAACGCATGGATTTGGAAGAAATTCTCTTCTTCTGTCTGTCTAACGCCCTGCTTACCCCTCCGGAAAGGTTGCACTCAACTTCTCTCTCTCTTTGAATTGTCCTCTTGTCCAGTTGCTCAAGATAGATAAGCAAGTAGAACTTTGATTCAGGTAGCTCTAACGCCGTTTTCTTGCTCCATATTGTCTACCACATTCTGACTATGCTAAGGTAGAGATGGGAATAACTGGCTCCGACTTCTTCTTTACTTCTGCGAATTGATAGGGTCTGATTGGCTTATTAAGAAATATGCGGGTCAGCGCCTGCACAATTAGGTCCAGGCGTTCTTGGATTTTATGTTTCCTATCCTTCAGGAAACGAATTTTGTTCCGTATGTTCATCATTCTATTATGTATGATTGATCAAGGAGTTCACCTGATGATCTATGGTTCGTTCTTGATTCTGAAAGTAAAAATAGGACTCCACTGAACTTCTCTGAGCCAATTGTCGGCATCCAAACTCAGAAAAATGGCAACCCAGATCAATTTTCTCTTGCAATGGAAATATTGACGACCAATGCTAGAGTACATGCATGCAACTCTGAAATGCTACAGGGTGAGGGCGAATATGAGCGTTTAGAGGTTGATTTTTTTGGCTAGACTTTCAAGATGGGATTATGGTGCACTGTTCTCAGTCAAAAGACTCAAAAAGTTATGGCATTTCTTCCTTCCACTGTCAATAGGTTGAGATGTGTCTTGAAGACAAACTCGTATTTAACTGTTTTTTTAATTTTAAAGGACAAAAGTTTATTCATACATTCAGCTGCAAGGGACCTAAAAAGCATGTGCCGCACGTGATGTATTTGTAATTGTGTATTTAATAGCGTTATTGTATTGATAGTGAGGAAAAGTTGGAAGTAGTCCTAATTTTGATAGTTTTGTCTCAACTTGAAAATTTTCGATCAACATGTGTAATCCATCATAGTTTGCCCAGAAGAGCAAATGTTGAATCGAGGAAGTTTGGAAAGCTTTTTCACAGCTACCATTCTAAACTCATTACCTCAAGATCTACTAACTAAAACTGTTCGAAAAAGTAAATTTTCCGATAAATACGAGTATAATTTTTAAGTAGTTGTGCGTTCTCGACATGACCCTGTGTATGAACCTTCACACTTTGTTACTGATCTCCACCTTTCATTTAAATGAATCTGAGGGTATATATATGTATATACCACTTAACATTTTCCAATTGAACCAGTATCATATGAAATCTATATCCGAAGGATTAGGACAATGTCATTTGTACAATGATTTTTGACAATGTTGTGTGTCAAAAAAGTGTTAGTTGGAAAGATAAATTGTTTTTAAAATTCTCCAATGATAACATCAACAATGTTGTAAAAAGGATTGTACACTGAGCATGATCGGAAGGATTAAGCCCCCGTTTGGCATCCCTTTTTTTCCCANAAATTAAAATAAATTTTCGTAGAACTACAAACTATCTATGCCAAACTCGAATTTCCTTCTTCGATCTTCACCAAGTTTTACTAATAAGTGATCCTAGTAATACACAATCTTAGATTGTTGACCGGTGTAATGATGAAAATGAGATTGACAATGATATCTTACAATCTACAAGAGATAATAGAAAGGGGGGTGCTATGGGTACATAGCACAATACATAAAGGAGGCCCTATTGGATCTATTATGGACACCATTATGGGAAATGCTATGTCCAAAAAAAAATAACCAAACAAAAATTTTGTCAAACCGTTTTTCCATTTTGTAAAATTGTTATCGGTCAAACATTCTATACACCAAAGTGCACATATAGCGAAGTCTATGTCAAAAAATTGTGTTTCAGAAATCACAATCTTTTTGACAATCATCCTCAAACCATGAAACTACATTAAAAATGGCTCATTTTTGAATTAAGAACGAATGCGTAATTTCCACTAATTTTTAATGAAATTACCCTTACTCCGTCAATCTCATGGCCAAACTGCTCGATCAAAATATAATCTATTTCCTCAGATATTAGAATTGTGTAGGGGTTTTTCTCAAACGGGGCAAAATATCACCGGTGAGAGAGAGAAAAACTGAGCAAAATGCGGTGAAATAATTGCTTTTCTGAAATTAACAATGATGCAACAGCCTGGACTTGAACAAGATACCTCGCCCTTGAAGTAAAATATCGCACCTAATGTCCAACCAATGGGGAGAGAATCAATGGATCATTTTCGGAATGAAATAAAAAAAATGACTCACCAAAACCGAGTGTTTTGGATGAAACGTGAATAGTGTAAATATCAAGTGCTCTTATAGTTTGGATATTGTAACCATTTATTCTACATCCATCTTATACAAGGAAATAAATGTCAACAATGAGATCCTTACAATTGGGTCCAAATACAACAGAGTTTCCAACAATATTTGTTAAGAGCATCCAGAGATCACTCAAAAATTACAGAGCTTACACCGACTTCTTGGTTTTTGGTGGGAGAAGATAACCGGTGTTTCGACCATTCTTCCAAGGCTTTACTATGAAGAGCATTCATACGAATATAAGGCCTTTTTTCTTGGATTAACTTTTCAGCATTTTTCCAATCTTCTGCCAAGCCTAGAGCTACCAGCAGTGCACACATCACTGCAACACTTCGGCCATGACCTAAGAATGTTTCAATGCAATGATTAGGAAAAAATGAATTATAATGTTTTATTCCAGCAGACATGGGCAAATAGAATCAAGAAAAAGTTTAAAGTTCAGATGCAGAGCAGTTTGTGCAAAATTACCAAGCAATTCGGTAATGTGTACAAGTGAGAAGCACCAATTTAGTTCGTGGAGAGGAAGGAAAAGAATGGGACAGGGTCGGGGGTTTTAAATAGCAAAGTGAAGAGCATCTCACTTCCTCTCAATTGTTTGGTAGGAAGGAATAGGCAGGGGAGGAGGGAGGGGCAATATGTACATATCTAGATTAAACCAGTCCCCTTTTTGAGATAGACTATATTGAACGTCCCATGGAATGGCGTGTGTGCAGGTCCAAGAGCCCATATATTTTTTATGCACAACTTTGCATAGATCTTTTCCATTTTTATTTTTATTTTTTTGGTAAAGGAATATGCACATATGGATTCGGATTAGCAAGGCTTGGCTGTGAGGACTGGATGATACATTTTGACACCCCTATACCTATCCTTTATATTCCCAATAACATTAATTTTAGTTAGTGTAAATTTTGGGTTTTAGGCATTTAGCCTTTGACCACTGAACCCTTCCTCCAAACCCTCCAGAATTCGGAGGATAAGGTCGGGAAAGGATTAAGTCAACTTCATTATTGTCTTGTGGTCACTTCCTCTCCTCTACCTTTCCCCTCCTAAAGTCCTCCTACTTAACCTCATTGGCAAATTCAAACGTGATAACACGAGATGGATTGACTTTGTAAGATATCAATTCTCTTAAAACCAAAACGCATGGCAATCTCATACCTAAGTCATAAATGTTAGATCATTTAGAAACAACTCAAATACATTTTTGAATTCTTATTAGCAGTGAATGAGGCAAATGCTAAGCTAAATACGTCGGTCGCAACAACTAATGGGGCAAAATGGGTAAATGCAGCTTATAATATATTAAGCATCTCTTATTGTTTATTTTAAAGCTAAAAATTTTGAATTTGAAGAAATCAGTCATTGAATCAATTCGTAAAGATCTTCCTTCACTTGATAATTAAAACTAAAAAATGATTAAGCTTGCTGATCTTTGCAGTGAATAGTCACAGAAGTCTTAGTGTCAGCCCTTGAGCATAAGCAATATACACTACGGGAAACACAGGTAAATATTTATTTGGCAGGGTTTGAATGGAACACGACAAAAATGTATAAACCTACTCTAAAACACAATAAGGATATGAAAATATCTTATTAACATTCGGATTTTAGTTCATACTTAATTCCTTCACATGATTATAACTAAAAGTATTTGCAAATTATATTCAAGAGGAAACAAATATTATTGTCCCCCTCAGACGAAGATGACGGCAACAACAATAAACTAAGCCCTTGTTTGATGGCCACTATTTAGGAAAAACAATGTTTTGAATAGTGATTTTTGGGAGAATGTGTGGTCAAAAAAAAAAAAGTGGAAAAAAATTTGAATTTACATGCAAAATATTTCATTGTGTAAATATGTGATTGAAAATGAGTATGTAAAACAAAGAATTTACAGATAATGGCGCCTTCAAACAGGGGATAAGACGTATTCTCAAACATTTGGGAATTCTCAACAATAAACTAAGCAACTCTTGCGTGTCTTTAAATTAACTAACTACAAGGAGTCGTGAATCGTGATATCAAGAAAGAAGCAATTCAAATTAACCATCATTAGCCCTTCACAACAGCATAAGTAACAATGTTAAAAAGAAATAAACTTCACTCTGGAGCAATATAACAAGTATATTTAAGTGATGCATGGAACAGGGATTCTGATGAACATATGAAATCTGAGCTCGACTTTCCAACACAACAATGGGGCATAGAGAAGAGAGGGGATAAGAATGAATTGCTAGCCAAATGCATGTACAGTAAGTGATTAAATTAAAATTAAGTGATTATAAGCCGTGGGTACTAAAGAATGTGTGGATAATAAGTGGGCGGTAGTTGTAAGTCCCATGAAATGTGGACATAAAAAATATGTTTAACCAAAAGCGATTAAATTATAATCACTTCCCAAACATGCACTAGGTAGACACAAACGCCATTAATGAAAAGAAATTGCCATCCAATGGATAAGAAAGAGGATAGTGATATCCAAAGCGGAAAAAAACTGTGGCTTCGGTCTATACTTGCTCAAAAGGTGGCATTTTAATGTTTCACCAGGGAATGACATTTTCTAGCAACTGCTTGCTCTAGAAGACAGCTAGAAAAAATGTTACTCCAGATTTTTTTATCCTAGGGAATATTTAACTAGGACGATCACACTATTAGCATATGGAAATTTTTTAGAAAATTAAGCCTTTGAGTGAGGAGTCCAACTTGTAAGGAAATATGGGGAGTGTGTTCTTGTGTTCCAAATCTTGGGTGCTTCATTTACACAGTAATATATGTAGGAGAATTATATTTACAATTTCATTCCATATTAAAAAATGTACTTTTTAGCAAATGTCCAAGTTTCACCCCCTTTTGACAAGAAATACACAATCTATTAAGTATATCAGGAGTGAAGCTCGTGAATGATACCGGTACATATCATGCAATCCATGACTTGAAATTAACCACAATACAGCTGAAACTTACATAAACACCATTATTATTTAAGGCTAAACCATATTTGGACCATTAACTAAACAAGAACAATCATCATAAGATTGTGGAGTTCGTATCATACCATATGCACAGTGGACGAATACCGGTGTCTTCTGAGCTCTCTTTCTACAAGCCCACTTCACAGCAGACTCAATCTCAGCCGGCTGAGGTGATCTCGTGTCCCATGCGGGAATGCACATATAAGCATGTCCCGAAAGCTCCATTTTCCTGGGTAACTCACAAGTGCAGTCGATAATGGCCGGGTTACCAGGTGGCAATTTGTCCCGCGTATAAGGCCACCCTCCAACATATAATCCTTCCGAAATCTCATTATAAGGAGCTTCCCCACTTCTCAACCT